TAAAGATAAAATTATCTTAATGAATTAAGGTAAAAAATAAATTTATTTAAAATAATTATTTAAAAAAAATTGAAATATTATGAAGCTGAAGTAAATTCCATTTCTATTGGATTGTTTTTTTAAACAATAGAGAACAAGTGAACAGATTTTTATGGTTGATAAATTTATTTATCAGACTGCATTTTGAAAAAATTGTACACTTATAAATTCCCACTGTCGTTCGTCTGTCCGTTTTTCCTTAATCTCGAGAATGAAGTTAGGTAGATGAAACTCAAGATCATATATGAATACCTTAGGGGCAGGGGGCCCCAATTATATGAGAACTTCTGATGCAAACCGAAAGTCAAGTTATTTCAATTTAAAACTTTTTCCTTGAAAGGTGTTAGATAAATGACCAGCACGACTTCGTTGTTAAAGGAAAAGTATGATGTACAGGGGCAAGCTACTACTAATTTGAGGTGGAGAGCATATGTTTTAAATTAAATAAATTAAAAATATTAAAAATGCAACTCGACATTGTGACGTTGTCAAAAAACAGTAAACAATCGCTCGTTCTGATTTATTTTTTTTATTTTAAGGATAAAATATTTTATAGAGAAAATATTTTCTATAAATCGAATACTTATTCAATTTACATGGTCTGAGTTCCGAAGTTTTTTTTTTTTTCATTTCAAGTAAAGGAATTTGATTACCTACCTGCGAGCCATCTTCAGGTGGGAAATCAAAAATCATAGATGAAAAAATTCTAGTGCATTCAATCAATTTACTTGCAGGATAAAAAAATATATAGCTTTTGACTTTAGGTGATGGTCATTTTATTATAAAAACTGACCAATGTAACGAAGATTTAATTTAAATTTTTTTTATTACAATTTCTATTGACGATATGTAAATTGATTATTGAACAAAAATGTATAATATATTTAACGTAACTCATATTAAATGCATGTAATAAATATAATCTTTAAATTAAAAAAAGTATTGAAGACTAAATACAAATAAAAATTTGTCTTAACACATCCTTCGCAACTAAGGAACACAATTAATATTTCTTTTAAGGTTCTTCCCTGCTTATGAATATTTAAATTAATTAAAAGTCCCTCTATCTCTGGATTCTTCTTAAAATATTCCTTGAAAAATTTCTAAAAATAAAGGCAAAGAAGAGACTCAAAAGGAAGGTCGACTCTTCTCATGTTAATTGTAATCCTGTGGCTGTAAAGGACGTGAGAAGATATCAAATTTTTATTTGTGTTTAGTTTTCAATTTTTTAAAATATATTTCATTCTGGATTTTTAAAAATTTTTCAAGAAATAATCTTTAAAATGTTCATAAATCAATAATAATAAATTACGTCGATTTTGATAAAATTATTAAAGTTTACTTTCGTGCCAATCATCATAAGGGAGTTGAATAGCCATAAAGTTTTTCGAAACATTTATCACAATTTCTTCAGTCAAAGAAGAAGAATTTTTCAGTTTTTTTTTACTGTTGTTGAAAAAAAGCAGACATTGGAGTAATTTATCGAAACTTTAATAACCAGCACAAAGAAATCAATTTTTCATTTCCTACTTTTGCGGTTTGTTTTCGGACGATAAGTTTTTCTCTAATATTCAAATTCCATTAGCGAATGGGCAATAAACGTTCATTGGATATCGAAAGATATTATTCTTGGTTTATAGCGAGTCAAAAATTTATTCACTTTCGAATCATTTCCTACAGAAAATGTATTATAGAAATGCATACCTCTGAGACACCTTTTAAAAAATTAAAATCTATTTTTCAATGTTTAAAACTTTTATGTAATGGCCATCATTTCGTTTTCTGTTATTTTATTCTTTTTCCATTTTTTAAAATTTAAAGGGAGAGGAAAAAGAAATGAAAAACTCATAAAATCAAATGTGTGAATAAGGAAAATTTTCTCAAATTTTATTTTTATTTTTCCTCTCTTTTCACAAATATTTCTTTGTGTTTTATTTTTTCAAAAATTTTCCTTTTTTAAACTCCATATTCTAAGTGTTTTTTATTTTTTTAGTTTTTGTTTTGTCTATATCTTATCCTACCCATTTTCTTGTTCTCTTTTCTTATATCTCTCTTTCCCTACCATTTTTTTTTCATTCGAGTTTTGTTTTCTTTTGAATTTCTCCTTTACTTTCTACTTTTCCTATTATTTTCATTAAATCTTAGTTATCTAACTCTACTTCCTCCATAGAAACATAACATTAAAACACTCAGTTAATTTCTTTTTTTTTTTCATTCGAGTTTTGTTTTCTTTTGAATTTCTCCTTTACTTTCTACTTTTCCTATTTTCTTCAAGATATTATATAATAATAATACTTTGAATAGCGTTTTATACTGCGAGACAAGTGGCACTTTGATTTACTTCTGTTTCTACAATTTATTATTATATAACAACCATTCTTCGGTGAATAGAAAGTAAAATAAAACTTAAGATATTCTAAATAAACAAAATTATTATTCTCTTCCAGGTACTTCCGGCCATAAAACATCAAAAGTATTGTTTTTATTGTTCATAACGTCAAACGGTATCTTTTAGTAATATTTTCTCAAGATACTTTGCTACTTTTTAAAGTTTTTATCGTCGTAAAGGTAGCGACAGCTCGAAGATGGATTGAATCTTGTAAGATGACTTCTCCTATTACTTTTTTTGAGTGATGTTTTTAATCTTTATTGTTTTTTTGTTTAAATTAAACTTTTGTTAGGCTGCAATTTAAGAAAATTGTAGACCTATATGTTCGTCCGTCCGTATATCTGTACGTCTGTTAGTATTTCGTTTTGATGTTTTGTCTGTATTCTGAATCTCAAGAACGGTATTAGATAGATAAAAGCCGAAACTAGATATGGAAGGGTTATGGGCAGAAGGTCTTGATTAACTATATACGAACTCCCGATCTAGTACGAAAGTCACGTGATTTTAATTCAAAATTCTCCCTAGAATAGAATTATATAGATGACCAGCATGACTATTGTTGTCAGGACAAGTACACTAGTGATTTGAGATCGAGAGCATATATTTTAAATTAGATAAAAATTGCAGCATAGCATTGTGACGATTTCACAATAATTAATTGCTCGTTTAAACTATATCTGTACACTTAAATATTTATAAATTTATATTTTAAATTCGATTTAATCAATTCGGATAAAATATATAACACAATTTATTTTTCATGACCCGTAAACAGAAATTATTCGTGTAGTGTGGGGTCACACAAGTTTAAAAATTTTATTGGAGGTATATTAGTATCTTTCTTGCATAAAATTCCACCAGTTCTGTGGCACAGAATTTCTGACAGTTGCGACGTGCTATTTTTGGATCCAATAAAGAATCGATAGGGGAGAAGTTAAAGGTAGCAAAACGTGTCGAGATTCACTACAAAATGAAGGTGGTTGTTCAATATGTTTTCCTCCTTTGCTTCCTCTCTGAGATTCAGGAATCAAACGATATTTACTTAAATTCTGGGGAAAAATATTTTTTAAATTTAATTATTTTTTTTTATAATATAAATTATCATAATTCAAAAATTAAGAAAAAAGATTCTTCTTCTTCACTACTAATATATTCTTCTTCTTCTATTAATATTAATCAATATGAGCTATTTTACTTTCACCTTTATCTTTTCAGGGGTCATTTTTCATGATTAATGATATTTTAAAAGCAGGAATGATAATAAAATTCATAGATTATGCATGCATTTTTAATGAAAAATAATTAAGGAATTTATATTATAAAAAATGAAACGAATAAAAATTTACAGAGCCTCAAGCAAAGACTGTTGATATTAGCTTAGTTACATAAAAAAATCTTAAACAATTTTCAGTTGATTCAATGAACAATTACAAGTTCTTTATCTAATTTATAGCTAATGTAAGTAAATGATAATTATTTTAAAGTTTATCAATAAAATTTTGTGAGTTTTTTTAACATTATTGCAAGTTGTGACCATCATTTACATGTTCAATTCTATTCAATATTACGTCTCTCTTCTCACGTTTCAAACAGATTATAATTTTATTACAAAATACTTTAAGAATATAAGGTGTGTGCTATAAATCAATGCGTGCTTTTTATTATTTATGTTTCAAAACTGCTCTTTAGTGTGTTTAATTTCGATTTTTTTTGTCACCATGGATCAATTGGAAAACATTTGGAAACTTTCCGCCTCTTAAAAATTTTATTGCCGGATATCCGACTGTTTCCAGGAGTACCCATTTTGTTTCTGAACGGCAATTTAAAAATGCAAAAAAAAAAAAAATGCAATTCTTTGTTTAAAGATGATATAGGAAATTTTCCTTCCACGAATTTTTTAAATAAACGGATCAATAATGGCACCCTGAAGACAGATATACTCTATCTGAAGAGAACACGAGTTAATCTTGTTTTCTCCATTGTTACATTTTTGTCCAAGGAGAATTCAAAAGCTTAGTTTCTAGAATATTGATGATCTTCTTTTATTTATTTTTATTTTTTCGATTTTTAATTTCAACTTGTGAATAAATGGATGTGCTCCTCGAGTGCTTGTGAAATTATAAATGATTTACCAGCGAAAATTATTGTGGCAGTGTCACAATTCTGGGCTGCAATTTTTAATTTAATTTAAAATATATGCTCTCGATCTCTTGCCCCTGCACATTATACATAGGAACAGTCATGCCGGCCATCTGACTTCTTTCAGGGGAGACGATTTGAATTGAGATTACGTGACTTACAGTCTAGACTGGAACTTCCCATATAGTTAGTCGTGGCCTCCTGCTCTTAAGCGTTTATAAATCTGGTCTTCTCTTTTATCTAACTAAAATTTTTCTCGAGATTAAAGAAGGACAGACAGACATTGGGAACTTAAAGGTCTACAGTTTTTTCAAATTGCAGCCGAATTAAAATTATAATTAACACTTTGGAAATAAAAATACCGTAGCATTAATCATAAGTATAATATTTATTGCATTCATTAAAAACATTTGTAAGTTATTTACAATAAACATTCTCTATTAGATATATACAACGATATGTTGTATGTAAAATATTAATATACAATGTACGATCTTTTATTTTATTTACATCCTCAACTAAGAATTCAGAGAAATTATAATTTAGTGAGACAGTATTTTGATTTTTTTTTTCTGATATTTAATGACAAGGAAGGGGAAAAAAGAAAATCTTACAGAATGATTAAGCGAAGAGTTGATCGGGTTTAGAAGAGGTAGAAGTAGTAAACATGGCTTTATTACTTCGACAAAATAGTTTTTTGAATGCTCTCTTAAAATTCGCATTACATAAAGCATAAAGAAAGGGATTCATAGTAGAATTTAAGTAACCCAGCCATATCGTAGCAGTGTGGACGTCCGGATTGATACAATCTTCACAGTAAGCAGTAACCATAAACGTAATTATATATGGCAACCAACACAACACAAACGCTCCCATGATAACACCTAACTGCCTCGCTGCTTTTTTCTCTTGTCTTAAATTAGTTATTGTCCTCCTAGTAACTTTCATGCGAATAGCTGTTGATAAATTTGGTAGAAGACCACTCCCAGAGCGAAAACTTCCCCCCACTCTTTCGTCAGAACGTAGAACTGGTCTCACTTCTTCTCTCGAACCGTCTCCCACATACTCTACTTTAACTGTAACTCCTTGATAATGTTCAGATTGTTGAGCTTGATCCCCGTTAGAATTCTGAACTGTTAATAGAGTTAACTGTTGAAATTTTCTATCATTTGGAGATGGTCGAAACACGACTCTACTATCTGTGCGCCGGAAGCTGACATCACTCCAATCTCTTCTGTTTTCTCTATTATTGGTACCATTTCTACATTCTAATTGCTGTTGCCCGCGAACGTTGCATTGTCCTATCTCGAATTGGCTCCTCTTTTTAATTTCTGAAAATATTTTAACGTAGAGACATATCATGAGCACCATTGGTACATAGAAGTTAGCTGTCGAAGTAGTCAATTTAAAAAATACATTATCAGCAAATTCCGTTTCGCAAACGCTATCGGGTTGTTTGCGTATTCCATCATTGTACCAATAATGCCATCCGATAATGGGGATTATCCACATGGCAGATACCAACCAAACAATGGCGATCATTACGAGTGCCCTCTTCTTGGTTCGTTTGCGAATGTACTTGAGTGGAGAACGAATTGACCAATAACGATCCAAGCTGAGGATTAGCAAGTTTAAAATGGAAGCCGTACTTGCCGAATAATCAGCAGACAGCCAAAACTGGCAAACTACAATTCCGAATTTCCAATCTCCAGTTATGGCATAAGCAGAACTTATTGGCATGACAAACATTCCGACTGTAAGATCAGCAATGGCTAAGCTCATTATGAACATGTTGCTCACCTGAAAAATAAAATGGTGTGTATTTCAGTAATACTTTCATCTTTTTTCATATAAATTTTAAATTTATCAATAAATTCCTATCTCTTCAAGAACATTTTCTCAAGAACATTCATAAAAAAAACAATTTAAAAAAATTTAATTTCATCTTTTAATAGAAGAATAATAAACTTAATATTAAATAAATCAGTTTTATTTTATTTTCTCTTTATTATTGCATATATTAAACGAGTAATAGTACCTAATTAAATTCTGTCATTTTAGCAATTAAATTGCTTTAAATGTTTAATTATTTATGAATTTTCTCAAGATAATAGAGAAGTTTCAAATTCTTTAATGTTGATATTTAATGTTAAATTCATTAAACAACGCAGTGAAGATTTTATTATTTTCAATGTTTTTTTAATTAATTAGATTTAAAAAAAAGAAAAAGAAAAAGAAAATTACACGCTTAATGAATGCCTTTTTTATGCAGCTAATGGATTGTTATTAAGAGCACGGATGTCGAATGTAAGAAGATTAACATCTATAACATAATTGGATAAAAGTAAAATCTGCTCCATTCATTACGGCGAGTATTTACATTAAAAAAATTTACATTTTTATGAAAATATCTATTAAAAAAAACGATGTTAAATACCTATATTCTAAAGAGATTTTTGAAAGTTTCGCTCAAGTTGCACGCGTGTAAAGAATGCTTTACATAAATCACCAGACATACTTTATAAAGTAGAACAACAAGCTAGCATCCATTTATCTTGACTGAGATTGAGAATCTAGGTCTATTCTACCATAACCTGATGGATGGTATCCTGATCCACTGTTTGCTTCAATGCACTGAATACATTAACACCCTAAATCAATCTTTTGCATGTCATAACGTCAATATTCCCATCCCTTTTTTTTCTGCAAGTTGGATTTATTTTGACATGCGATTTTTGCTTTTACCTTTTCAAGCTTTTATACTGTATTTATATACAGAGAAAGTTTGAAAAGGATAAAGTAGTTCTTGTATCTTAAGATCAGGTACGAATAATAATATCTCTGCTGGCTTTACTTTTGGCATTTGATCTTAAAAATGATTGATAAATTTAAAATTACTCTTAATTTTATCAAAATTTTCATACATTACTTCGTTATTTATATATTTAAGTAACAAGTTTAATGTTACAAAACTACATTAAGTAACGTATTTCATAATGAAGTTGTATATTTTGTTTCTCTTACTGTAATATTTTCAGAGTCAAGAGTTCAAAGTGAATTAATTGATATTTATTTTACTTTAAATTTAATGAAATACATATCAATCAATGTTACTTAATAGGAAATATAAGAAATTTTACATGATAAATTTAATAAGATTACATAAATATCTAATCGAAAATCTAATTATTCATATATTTAAAGTTATATTTAATATGAAGTAGCAGGATTTAGCTCATTGAATATTTATTAGATGAGAAGATTTATTAAAAAAAAAAAAATTAAAGTAAGCAAAGTTTTAGTTTAAAAGGTTTCGAAATA